ATTTTTGGGTTCTACCAGAACGATTTGGTGTGTCCACAGAGCAACCAAAATGTACTCAACGCGACTTCAGACAACTTCGTGTTGTTTGGAAGACCAAATCCATGGGATGGACCCGTTTTTATCACAAGAAAAGAGGAGAAAATGAATGAAAAGAAGACATTTGTTATTCACCAAGACACCCATGGGATGCTCCTTTCTTGCTTCTCTGCTTTTTGGGTTGAGACAAACGGGAATGTGAACTTCAACGTGTGCGCCAAAAATTATTACAAAATCCCACAGACATCCACAAACCCACTCACTGGAAAACCAAACTCAGAAAAAATCGTGTGTGAAAGAATTGTTGTGTTAAAATGTTTTTAATTGTTTGAATTGTTATTTGTCGTGTTTTTTAATTTCTTTGAGAACTTTTTGAACTTGAATTGTTAATTTCCAATAAAATAAAAAATAACTTGACCTCATATTAATTGGTTTATTTAAAAATTAAAACTAAAATAATAATTAATTCTTGAAAGTTGGATGAAAAGACTTGACGTGTTTTCAATGCAAATTGTCACAAAATACTTGGTAAATTACACCGACTTTATTAATGTTGTTTGTGTGTCCAAAAAGTATCAGTACGTGCTTGATAGAATCAGAATCAACCCAATACAGATAACACCAAACAACATGAAATTATTCCCAAATATCCAAACACTGAATTTGTTTTCTCCATTCGATATTCAACTCACAAACACAACAATCGAACGACTCCAATTCTCTTATCCTATTTCTTACGACAAATATTTGGAAGAGAAGAAACACTTTAATATTTGTCATTTTGTGAAATACACAAAAACAGACAGAGAAAAGTGTGGCAACACGATCCCACAAAATCTGTATTGTATCGACAACAACTGTTTTGAAGATTGCGAACAACAAGTGATAAAGATCCCATATAGTGTCCGAGTTATTTTAGATGATGCTTTTGAATACGCACACATCCGAGAAATTGACATACCTAACTCGGTAACATTTCTTGGTGATAACGCGTTTGATGGATGCACTAATTTAACACATGTGGCACTTCCATTTTCACTCAAATACATCCCTCCGCTTACTTTCAACAGATGCGTGTCTTTAAATAAAGTTGACATACCGTCATCTATCACTGGGTTTGGTTGTGAATGTTTTGGTCGGGGTTGTGGAATAGAGTCCATCGTCGTCACACCAAATATTTGTGTTTCATTTGATGCATTTGAATACTCCAATTTGAATCACATCGAATTTGTTGGGCAATCAATCATAGCAGATAATGTGTGCAACCACTGTTTGTTATTGAAAAGTGTAAAAATGGACACCACTGTGAAGATTATTGGAAGTTACTCCTTTTATCAATGTGAAAAACTTGAAGAAATTGATGTCCCGTCATCACTTCAAATCATCGAAAATTCCGCTTTTAGAAATTGCACTTCTTTACGCAGATTTTTAATTCCACAAGGGTTATTGTATATGGATTCATTAGTATTTTATAATTGCTCCAGTTTGGAAGAACTGAATTTTCCAGAAAGCACCAAGTTATGTGGTATTGATACGTTAACCAATTGCACTAAATTAAGTGCACTGACACTTCCAAATTTCAACCGCAAATTGACATTTGCGACCAATAAAGACGAAGAGCAAATAGTTAATAAATTTGGGTATACTGCACTTGATGTTGTTATTGATGTTGATGACGAATGTCCTCCAAATTACACCAACGAAGAAGATAAAATTGCAGACGAGAAATTACATGAAGTGAAAACCAATTCAAATTGCAATGAAGTTGTGTTGTACAACCTCGAACAATGTAAAGTGTTTGATTTTCATGAGGCAGAAAAAAT